AAGTTGAAATAAAAGAAGACCCATCGAAAAAGAATCGATTTGATAATCATGTAGAGTCTTTAACAGATATTATAAATGAAAATATTACTCAACCAACCAACAATACAATACAAGAAAAAGGTATAAATGAAAATAATGATTTAAAAGAAGAAGAAGTTATGAAAGAAAGTGATAATTCAGAAGAAGAATTAATTAAAGGAAAAAAAGAAATTGATAACTCCGAAAAAAAATATTCAAAGAAAACATCACATCATTCAATAAATGATGAAATTACTTTATTTGAGGATGTTGAAGGAAATAAAAAGGAAACTAATACAAGAGATATTGGTGAAACATTTTCTCATAAATCACAACAACCAAACAATCACTCAGAAAAACATAAAAATGAAAAAAAACCACGAAAAGATGGAGAAGAAAAGAAAAGAAAGAAAACAAAAACAAGAAGTCGAATGAAGAATGTAAAAAAAGATAAACGACCTGATCATTTGAAACCATCATATCTACAAAATAATAATAACAAATGATTGATATTTTTTATTTTAGAATTAAAATTATTTATTTTTTTTTTTAAAGTATACCGATTTGATATTTATTAAAATTTCATTAATAAAATGTTTAATATTCAATGTTTTTTTTAAATAATTTATAAGCAATAAAATATAAATAAGTATAAAGTATAAAATAATTTATAAATAAAAAAAAGAAATTTAACAACAACTTTAACAACGACATACTTCAATAAATTTTCAAAAAAAAAAATAGAAATGAAGATTAATACATAAAATCTACAACAATATTAATACATAATTAGAATCAATGGTGAATCAATGGTTTAATAATAGTTGTAATGAAGGATAATTTGGTATTACATTTTATAAATTTATTAATTAGAAACAGGGTATTTTATATTATTTTGATTTAATTTTAAAGGTTCGAAGAGTAAATATCTATGGAAACAGAAAAAAAGAGAACTTAAAAACAAATTCTTCTTAAGGAATGTCTAAAATGGTTCATTCATTTCATATAGCTAATAAAATCCTTCAAGGTAGATGTTCAACACAAAATGGAATTAAAGAAATAGGTAATAAATTAGATGATGAAGTTATTTATTTAGTAAAAGAATTAAATAATAATACAATAACAGAAGAATGGCAATTAATAGAAAATGAATTAGAAAATCCAACTGTATTAATTAAAACATATTTATTATCAAAAAAAAAAGAAATTATTTTACGGTCAAATGCTATGATTCCTAAATATTATTTATTAATTAAAAATATATTAGAAAGAATTGAAAGAATTACCGAATTACTTCCAAGTGTTTTAGAAACAGAAGATTTTGATGAATTTTTTATTAATAATGTTATTACAATGGATCCAACAAAATTTTATGGTAGAATTACACACTCTTATAGATACAAAGAAATTTCACCACATGAATGTGCTCATGTTTTTTCACATTTTCAACAACCAATTTGGAATCATCATTTATTTTATGCAAAAGACCAAAATAAAATGACTTTATTTATTATGCAATCAAAATTTCTAATTCAAGAAAATTCTAAAGGTTCTTTATTTCATTTAATCAATTTACAAAGAAAATTTATCAATAATATCTTTGACCATATTAGTGGAGATCAAGAAGTTAAAGATATGATGTTTTTAGAAAGAAGGTTTAATAAAATGGTATATAACCAAGATGTTTTTCCAGTAATTATTCATAGAAATGCTGTATTTAATGTTTTTGCAAATTATGATTTTACTGAAATTGTTATAAAAGGGTCAAGTGAATATCATCAAAAATTTAGTGTTCTTTTAGAAGATTTAGAACACAAAGTTTATAGTAATATTATTTATCCTAAAAGCATTTTATTAAAGAAAGGAAATTGTCAAAATTGTTTTCATAAAGAATCACCTTTTTTTAGTAAAGAATTAGTTTCAACTGATTTAATTATTGGTAAAACTGTTTCTGAAGGTAATATTTTTTTTGGATGTCAAAGTGTTGGACAAGGAATTAGTTTATGTCAATACCATCATGTAAGCCCTGTAAAATTTGCTGTTGTTCTTTCAGCAGAAAGAACAGAAACATTTAATGGAAAAGCAAAATCTATATTTTATTATCATTATTTTGTTCCTGAATTAAATCTTAATGATGTTAAAAGATTTAGTGGATGTATTCGTAATATTATTATTGCTAAACTCATTATGAGAATTGGTTTTGAACAAAATGTTAGTCTTAAAATTGATAGATCAAATTCAGGTGATTTTAACTTATCAAAAAATATGTTATTTTGTGCATTACAAATAAAAAGAACTATTGAAGATAGAAAACGCTTACAACAATTAGAAAGAAAAAAGAATATTACTAAAATTAATCATTGTTTCATTTGTCTTCTTGATAATAATAGTTTTCATTATTTAATTAAAACGTTATGTCTTGAAGATCTTATGAGTTTAAGATGTACATGTACTCGATTTAAAAAGTTAATAGATGAAAGTACAGATGTTTGGAAAAATTTTTATGATTTATATCATAATCCTCAAACTCAACCTAAAACATTTTTTACTTCAGAACATAATGACATTAAAAATTATTCATTACTTGTAAGAAAATGTTATAAAGTACGTCAAAATTGGAGAAATAAAAAATGGTCTAAAAGAAGTATACTCACTCCATTCTATGCTCCAATTAATTATATTAGAGTAAAAAATGATGATTGTATTGTTGTGGGAAGTGAAAATGGATATTTTTCTAGAATTGAAACAAAAAATAATGAATTTATTAAAGTTCGTGAAGGATTACCTATGAGTCTTCTTGCAGGGATGAGATGTAGTTTTGATTATTCAAATGATCTTTATGTTTATTTTAGATCAGGTGAGATAAGAAAATATACAAATAGTACTCTTAAATTTACTAAATATGAATGTCATCCATATGAAAAAGTTAGTTTTGTAAATAATTCTATAGTTGTAGGATTAAATGATACAACATTATCGGTTGTTGATTTTATTTCACAAAAGACTCTTAATAAATTTGTTCCTCATTCTGTTGAAATAACACATTTTTGTTGTATTAATCCAAATATTGTTGTATCATCTTCTATTGATGGAACTATAGCTGGATTTGATTTACGTTCAAATAAATTTGCTTTTAGAACATTAAGTTATAGAGAAGAATTAACTTCTTTTGATTGGATTGATGATTTTATTATCAGTGGGTCTTGTAAAGGAAGAATGAAAATGTGGGATTTGAGAACTAACATGTGTTGTTGTGAAAGAACTATACATTTTAATGCAATTAATTCAATGTTTTGTTTTAATAGGAAAGTAGTAAGTGGAGGAACAGATAAAGCAGTATATTGTTGTGATTTATCACGTGGATGGTTTGAAAATGTATTAATGATGTACATGCATCCAAGTACTGTAACATGTGTTTCATTAAATGATTGTACATTGTCTACTGGTTCAGAAGATGGAGTATTGATAAGTTCTCAATTTTGTTAATATAATTGATTTTTATTTCAACAACAAAAAAAAAACACAAAACAAAGTAATTTTAATTAGTATTAAAGATAAATTATATTACTTTGACTCTTATTTTTGATTGATACAAGTTATAAATTCACTCTCTTTCATACAATGAATTGAACATAATAAATCCTTTCGACAATTACCTTCACATTTTCTATTAATTGTAGAATAATGAGAATCAAATTTAGTCCATAATTCATCATCTACTGCTAATTGTTCAATAAATTCTTTTAAATTTTTTGTTGTATATTCTTCAATACCAAATAATTCTTTAGCATTATATTCTATTTCCCATTCAAATTTATTATTTTTATTACATTTATTAATGTTAAGCATATAATTTGTATAATCTTTAATATTCTTTCTATCATATTCATATAATCTAAATCTTGGATTTAAATTCTTAAACGAAGTCATAGCTGGATTCATTATTATATGAAATGTTGGTTTTGTAATATTTGGTAATACTCTAAATGAATTAAAATGTGAATGACCTGAAAGATGACTAATAATAATATCAGAATATTCATTCATTGCATAACTAAAGTCTTCATTAAACTTTGGAACAACGTCAATAGTTCCACTTTCTTTTAATCCAACTCCTTCATGACTTAATAAAATAACTCTTTCTCCATTCTTTCTAGCTAATTCTAGTGTCTCATTAAACCATTTCATCATTCCTGCTGGATCATTTTCAACATATTCATTACAATGACTACCATAAACATCAACATAGGCAAGATAAAGTGCAATAATTCTTACTCCAGAGTCAATTAATTCAGTATAAAACCCTCCTTTTTTAAATTGCTCTAATGCATTTGGAGAAAGCCAATCTTTGAAAAGATCTCCCATAAAATCTAACATCCATTGATTTTGAGGAGGGTATTGCCAATTACTTGACAACCAATAATCATGATTTCCAGGTACTGGATATATTCTAAAACCTGATAGTCGTTTCTTTAATGCTTCAACTTGTAGTTGAATTCTTTTTTTATTTGTTTCTTTACTCTGAGTTATTACATCACCAGGAACAACATCCATTAACCAAAATATTAATTTACTTTCTGATTGGTGTTTAGCAATGTAATCAAATGCAGATTCTGAAACATTGAGAGGAGAATAGCAATTATAATCTCCACAAGAACCACTGATAAAATTTTCTTGCCCTTTTCTAGGAATAGAATTAGAATGACAACAATCAATAGCCAAACACTTTGAAGAACTACCAACAGTAAATTCATCATCAAAATGTGTATCAGTAATTAACCAGAATTTCTTATTTGCTAAAGTTAAAGTTATAAAAAGAAGAAGTAATAACATGATAACCATCAAGATAATAGTTCTATTTTTTATTGATAGAATCAAAACTAAAGTACTTTTCATTTCTTCAACTTTTCATTTTGAAAATTCTGAAAAAAAAATCGAAAACAAAAAAAGAACTTTGAATTTCAATATTTTTTTTTGTATCAATGTTTTTGTTGTTCATTTCTTTTGTTTTTATTTGTTTTAGTCAAACTACATGCAACAATGCGATTGATATTAATTTCTCTCATTCTGAAATATTTCAACATACTGCTGATACTTCAAGAATACCTGATAGTTATTATATTTTAAAACAACATCTTTATTCACAAAAAGGAATTTGGTATAGGGTTTCATTATCAACTCCACAAACACTTATTATTGATACTTGTTTTACAGGACATACGGTTTTTGATACTAAAATTATGGTTTTTAGTCAATGTGAAAATAATTCAGGTTCAAAATTACTTGCAATAAATGATGATGGAATAAATGGATGTGGAAAAGCTTCAAGACTGATTTATTATTTTACAAAACCTTCTTACATTTTTATTACTGGAGCTACTCAATTAGATACTGGAATATTTGGATTGAGAATATCTCCACTTCCTAAACAAGAAAATACTAACCCTTTAATACCAGAAAAATTATCAATTCCAACGTCTATTGAAGGAATTACTTCAGGGATAAATTCTTCAGTTTTGTATTATACATTTGAAGGATTAGACTCTACTCCTATTAAAGTTTCAACTTGTCATCCTCTCACAAATACTCAAATAACTTTAATTCTCGATAAAAATACACCAAACCAACAACAAGTAGTTGATAATTGTCCTTCTCATTACTTTGGTGCTGAAATAACAGTTCCTATTGGAAAAACAGTTCATTCACTTCAAGTACAAACAAATAATCCAGGTCATTTTATTCTTTCACTTAAATTACCATCAACTCAACAAACACCAATTGCAATTAGAGAACTACCTTTTTTACATTCAAGTAAACCTTCAGGTGATATTTCTAAGTCATGTGAAGGATATCCAGAACAGAGTGGAACATGGTATGCAATTATTGGAACAGGTGAAGATTATTTGATATCAACATGTGAATCATCACTATTAAGAGAAGGAGTTGGTACAACAGTAGAAATATTTGATTCAAATGGGGAATGTAAACGTGATAGTTTTGGTTGTGGGATTCATGGTCGAATTATCAAAAAATTAGAATATAAGAAAGAGTATTTTATTAAAGTATCTTGTCAAGAAAACAACAAATGTAAAGCAACATTACTTGTTCAAAAAATACTTCAAAGTTCAGAAGAATGTAAACGTCCTGTTATACTTGAAATTGGAGAAGAAGGAATTGTTTCACATAGTAAAATTGGACATCTTTCACATCCATGTGAACCAATAAGTATTCATGGTAGTTGGTATTTATTAAATTCAAGAATTAACAAAGACTTTATGATCTTTGGAGGAGTTATTGATGGATTTAATGCTAGTGGTAATGTTATTTATACAAAGACTTGTAGAGGACCATGTAAAGAAGAAAGTCGAGTATTAACAACAACATTTAAAAAAAATGGGGAATATCTTTTTGTTGTTAGTGCTTCATCAATTCTTGTTTCTGGAGTTTCATTGTTTGTTGTTCCAATCAAACAAACTGATTGTTCTGATACTATTCAAATAACACCATTCTCTACTTTAGGAATTCTTCAAGATAAAAAACATTATTATTCATTTGAGGGAGATGGATCAATGTTTATTATTGAAACATGCGGTCCAGACACTCAAATAGATACAATTATTACTGTATATTCAAGTTGTAATTCATATAGACCATTAATAATGAATGATGACTCTGAAATATGTGGAAATACTGCTTCATTTATTCGAGAAAAGTTTATTGGTAAATTTATTGTTGTTGTTGATGTGTCACATAAGTCTGAACGAAGTATTGGACCATATCGATTAAATGTATATAAAGACATTGAATATTCAAATGATAATTGTTTAAGTCCTACAGAAATTACAGAAGGAACTCATTTTATTTATACCTATAATAACAGATATGTTTTAATACCTAATCGACCTGACATTCAATCAAAAGGAGCATTTCTTCTTTATAAAGGTAGAGATGCAGTTGTAACAACATGTAATTCTATGGTAACATCACGGATTGAAGTATTATCTGATTGTTCTACTGTTCTAAATAATAGGCATTTAAAAGGATATTGTAGAAATGGAGAAAAAGTAATTGTTCACACAAATGAAATTTTATTTATTGGAGGTAAAAATTCAATGGATATGGGATTAATTCAAATTGAAGCATTCGCATCAAGTAGGATTTCAATATATATTTTATTTGGAATAATATTGATTGTATCATTATTCTCTATATTTTATTATTTCTACACATTACTTAAAAATAAATTATTAATTCTCTTTGGAAATACAATGGAAAACAAAGGATATTATGAATTATAATTTTATTTACTTTTTTTACTTAATACTTCTTTCTATTAACTGATTAACTTTTTTTATTCTTTTCTCAAAGAACTTCTTTTTGAACGTCTGTTCTAATCTCATTAATATTTTTACTTTTTTTGTATTTTACTTTAATTAAATGGAAATTATCAGGATATTTCAATAATTATTTATTTTTATTTTTTAGTTTTAAGGTTTCTATTTTTCAAAGAAGGTTGAAAGAGGAATAAATATTACTAAAAAGATTAAATGGAATGTTCTTCTCATGATAAAAACAATCAAATGAGACTAATAATCTGTTCATAAAATTTTATTATGTCCGTAGGATATAATTCACCTTTTGCTCAAAATGCACAAACAAATGTTAAGCCATCAACTGGTGGACCAGAAACAATGGCTATTAGATTAACCGTTGTTAGTGGTAAACAATTGAAGGCTATGGACCTTCGTTCTTCTGATCCTTATGTCATTGTTTCAGTAGGTATTGAACAAAGAAAAACAAAGACTGTTATGAAAAATTTAAATCCAACTTGGGGAGATTCTTTTGAATTCTATAATGTTACACCTGGAACTATGGCTACTTTCACCGTTATGGATTATGACAAACGTGGTAAAGATGATAATATGGGAAATGCTTCTTTGGTTATTCAAAAACTTCCACCAGGACAAATGGCTACTAATGAACTTCCTTTATCTACTAAAGGTTCTATTTGCATTCAATATACTATCATCTCTAGTTCTTCTAGTACAAAAACTTCACAACAATGTGGTACTAAACCTACTCAACAACAACAATATCCAAGCTATCCACAACAAGGTGCCCAACAAGGATATGGTGCATATCCTCCAGGCTATCCTCAACAACAACCAGGAGCACCAGCCCAACAACAATATCCAGGTTATCCTCAACAACCACAAGGTCAACAACAATATCCAGGTTACCCACAACAAGGAGGTTATCCCCAACAACCAGGAGTACCAGCTCAACAACAATATCCAGGCTATCCACAACAAGGTGCCCAACAAGGATATGGTGCATATCCAGGCTATCCTCAACAACAAAGTGCTTCTGGAAAGCAAGCACCTCAACCAGGAGCACCAGCTCAACAACAATATCCAGGCTACCCACAACAAGGTGGTTATCCACAACAACCACAAGGTCAACAACAATACCCAGGTTATCCACAACAACCACAAGGTCAACAACAATATCCAGGTTATCCACAACAACCAGGAGTACCAGCTCAACAACAAAGTGCCTCTGGAAAACAATCAACTCAACCAGGAGCACCAGCCCAACAACAATATCCAGGCTACCCACAACAAGGTGGTTATCCTCAACAACAATACCCAGGTTATCCACCACAACAAGGATATGGTGCATATCCAGGTTATCCACAACAAGGTGCTCAGGGTCAACAACCAGGATACCCACAACAAGGATATGGTGCATATCCAGGTTATCCACAACAACCACCAAAATAATTCAGAAAAATTTTAAGCATACTTTGTTTTTTTATTACCTTTCATTGATTAATATTTCTTGTCTTTAGTATTGTTTAACTTTGGAATAGTTTGTGAAGTTTTATAGATTTATGGAATGATATAAAAGGTTGATTTTCAATAAGTACCAAAAAACGAGTAAAACTGAATAGAAAATGATGTATTATAAATAATGTGTGTAGGTTATGAGAAAAATATTATCAATTTAAATTGTTAGGTATCTATAACATGCTCTATTTAAACGTCATACTTAAATTTTTTTTGTTAACACACAATCTTTGTAAATAACTTATGTTATTATAAATATTTGTGAAACTACATTCTAATAATTTTATTTGATTTAAATTTAATGTTTCATTTCCAGTTATTTTATTTCATAAACTTTATCAAGTAAAGTGTTGAATAAATTCAAGTAACACTCGTTTATTTTATTTGGTATTTAATTTTGTTAATTGTAGATTTATTAATTATTCAATTATAAATAGAAATGAATTATTAATAATTTAAATTGTTATTTGTTTAAATAAAATCACTTCTATATCATTCACTCACTTATTCTAGTTCATAGCCAAGTTAATTTAATTGACCAATTAATTAGTGATACTCATTGAATTTTCATTTCAATGTCTCATTTTTAAATCTATTATATCTTGTTTTTGTTATTAAAAATTATTATAATTACACATTAACTCAATACCAATTATTTGTAATAATTTATTTCTTATTCATTCTCTTTTATTTAATACTTCTTATATATTTTCTTTTACTTTTAGTATGGCATGTTTATAATGATATGGTTTCAATTAAATATTCTTTGGATGGACATGAGAATGTCTTTCATCCAAATTCCGTTTTTTTATTATTTATTCTATTATTCTTTACTAATTGCTGTTCAATTGTATTTTTAATACTTGTAGTCAAAATTTTTAATATTCAACTAAATTATGTAATAATATACTTTAGTTTTTTATGAATTAAATTATCTCTTTTTCATAAATTAATGTAGTCCATCGTTTTAGTATTTAATGTTTTTTATATTTAGTGGAGAATTAGATAAAATTTGTATTAAACAAATGAAATAATAAATGAGAATGTATAATATCATAGTACCAATAAATTCTTATTAATTAATACGAAGATTATAAACAATAAAATTACAAATAAAACTAAATAAATTCTAAAGAATATAATTGACTATTATCATCTATTTAATATTTTACATAACACAATATTATACTAATTTAAATTAAAAATGAATCTTTATAAATGAATTAAAACTTATTAAAGAAACAAAATAATCATTTTCGCTATTCAGAAAATGACATATCCCATCTATAATCAATCTTTTTTTAAAATACATAATTAATTTTGAAACTTCTAACAACCAAATCATTTATTGTTTTGATTCTACCTCATCACTTGATGATGATACTTCATCTTCTTTAATGTTTGCAATCCTTGAGTGAATTTGTGAAGAAGAGGTTGTTGTTTTATTCTCTTCTTTATTCTCTTCTTTATTCTCTTCTTTATTCTCTTCTTTATTCTCTTCTTTATTCTCTTCTTTATTCTCTTCTTCATTCTCTTCTTCATTCTGTTTTGTTTTATTCTCTTCTTTAATTAACAACTCTAAATCAGATATACATAATATTATATGTACTTGTACAAAAACACTTGAAACTGTAAATGTGATAAAGTTATATACAACGTATCGAATACCAGAAATAAAACAGAATAGATTTGACGCCATTAATCCAACAATCACACAAACAAAATCCAAAGGATATCCAAAAACTTTCTCAGGTAATGAAAAGTTACACTTACGAAGAGTATTAACAAGGATATAAGGAATAAATGCAATGAAAATGGGAAATATCATAAATGGAATGAACAAACATTCGACAGCAGCAAAACAACAAATAATAAATAAATATGCATAACAAAATCTTTTTAAATTTCTTTTTGTTCGAATTTCCAAAACATCACTATTCTCAAAGAACCCATACTTTGCACGTGCTAATTCTTTTAACTGTTCAACAACTTTTATTTGTATATTCTTCCAGTCAACCATATTTTTCTTTCCAAGTTCTTCTCTATTTAAAAAGGAAAAGTAATAATATATTATAATAAATTTAATTTATTAATCCTCTTTATTTCTTTTCTTCTTTCAAACAACTTTCTGTTTCTTTTTGACTAATTTTCTTTGGATTTACTTTTTTTGTTCCAGATGTAACTTGACTCTTACCTTTAGACTGTTTTTGCTGTTTCTGGTTATTCTCTGTTTCTTTAGGATAGTCAACAATTATATTAACTGGACCATCTACTTCAGTACTAATTTTCATGTACTGACCAAACGCACCTATTTGTATTTTGTCTTCTGCATATAACTCTTTAAATCTTTTAACAACTAAGTCATAAAAAGGATGACTTTTCTCTGCTCTCATACTCTTATGAAAATCTGGCTTTGTTCCATTCAAAACAGCATATAATGTAAATTGACTAACTACAAGAACTTCATACCCCATATCCATTACGCTTTTGCTCCACCTCTTACCATCTTCGCTATCCCATAATTTCATCTTTAGTACTTTATTCACTGCACCATCAATATCACTTTCTTTATCTTCTTCATTGATTCCAAAATAAAGCAATAACCCTTTACCAATCTTTCCAACCACCTCTCCACTCTCAACTTTAGTAACTGAACCACTTAATACACGTTGAACAATAATTCTCATCTTTAAGTAATTTACTCTGATTTGTTGAGTTTTTAGGGTTTGACTAAATAAAAAAACAAAAACGAAGAAAAACGAAAAGAATTAGAGAGAAGAGACTTTGATTGTACTATCAGCTCCACAAGTAAAGATCTTTCCGTCTTCATCAATGAACACATCATTAACTCCAAGTGGATGAACTCTTCCAAGTGTTGTGATTGCTTTCGTTTCAACATTCAATACATATGAATATGAGTCAGCTCCCGCTGTACCAATCATTGTACTATCCTTGTTAAATCTAAGCTTTAAGACTTTTGAGTTATGTGGAACCCATCTTGAATAAATAACTTCATTCGTCTTAGCATCTCGAAGAACAATCTTTCTTGTATCATCTGAATGAACAAAGTATTTACCATCACTTGAATAGTCCATACTGTAAACTGTTCCTTGAATGTCTTCTTTAATTTCTCCTTTTTCAGTTAATTGTCCATCACTATTAATTGAATAAAATTTAATACATCCTTCACTTTTTATTCCTGCACTAAGTATAGTCTTATCTCCATTGATTGCAAGTGTTGCAACTCCATTCCTCTGATTAATGCTTTGAATAATCTCTTTCCCTTGAATAACTTTAATTCCTTTATTAGTTGCAACATATAATGTATTATTATAATATACCCCACAATTTGCTGGAGATTCCGTACTAATACTATCTTCATATTCCATTCGACTTTTATCAATAATCTTAACACAATCATCTGACCCAAGTGTAGCAATTTTATCTCCACAATTAACAATATCATTAATTCTTGTACAATGTCCTTTCCCACTAATTCCAACAGCTTTTCCTGTAGCTTTTTCCCATCGAACAACATGTCCTTCATTTGATCCTGAATATAAATATTCTCCATCATTTGCAAGTGCAGTAATTGGTTTATTATGTCCTTCAATTACTTCTTTAATATCTCCACTACTCTCTTCAATATTATGCATACTTCCATTTAATGATACACAAATTACTCCATTCTTGGTATTAACTACTCCAAGTTGTTGTTCTTCAATTGTATTTGAAAATTCAATTGTTTTGATTACACTCCCATCTTCTGCATTCCAAACTTTACATGTTTTATCTGCTGATGCTGTAATAAATGTTTTACTATCACTTCCCCATGTAACTGAATAAACTCCTGCTTTATGTTCCGTTTTTTTATATTTCATTTCTCCTGTTTTCCCATCAAATACAGATATACTTTTATCACTTGATACACAAACACACAAACTTCCATCTGGTGAAAATCTTCCACAATTAATAAATCGGCTATGAATATCTTTCATACTCTTCTTAAATTTAAATGGTGGTCCTTCAAACCAACATGGATAATTATCTTCTCCCGTTGTAATTAATCTAAATGGTCGTGTTCCTCTAAAATCACATGACAATAATGTTTTTGTTTGTCCTGAAATCTCTCCAACTGATGATCCAGCATCCCACATAAATACACTTCCTAATTTCTCTTTTCCTTCTCCAACTACACATATCCTTTGACTATCTCCAGTCCATGCAATATCATAAATTGGTCCAGAAAGTGCTTTAAAACTAAACTTTAATGGATGTTCTTTTTGTGTCGTATCCCATATTCTAACATTTCCTTGAACATCCCCTGAACAAATATAATATCCACTTGGACTATATTTCGCACATGTAGTTTCACTTGTATGTTCATAATAAATATCCGTGTCTAATGGATTGTTAACGTTCTTAATAACTATACAATTCCCTGTTGGATAAACAATATGTGTCCCCATCTTATTATGGTCATTATACCCTATATGGACTGGTTTTCCTCTTGTAACAGATGGTAATGGTGCATATACTTGTGTCACTTTAGTCATTTGATTTTACTTTTTGAGTTTCTTTGACGGTGAGTTTATTTAGTTCTTCATCTTTCTTTTCTTTTTACTGCTTCTTTTTCTTATTCATTTTTTGAATTTCTTCTCTTTCACTTTTTAAATGAATTCAATTTATAACAAAAACTTTATTCAATTCTCTATTTTTATTTCAATAGAAATTTACTTGTCTCTCATCATTTCTCTTTATATTCAAGGAAGGTGTTTTTTGTTTATGAAATGATTAAAATAAAATATAAATTCTCTTGAACACAAAATTAAATGAATTATTTCTTACCAATTTTCTTGCCTGGAACAACTTTCTTGTTTCCTTTAGATTTCTTTGGTGCTGCTTGTTTCTTTGGATATTTCTTGTAAATCTTTTCAACTTGTTCTTCTTTCTTTTCTACAGCAGCTTTTGGTGTAACTTTCTTTTCAGTGGTGGTTTTGCTTTTCTTTGATGCTTTTTGAATACCAGCCTTTTGCATCTTGTTCTTCTTAATAGTTTCATTGACTTGTTGTAATAATGGTTTCTTAATTCCTTTGTCAAGTGGAAGATTAACAAGAGTTTCTGTTCCTTTACCAATAACAAAGACATTGTTTAATCTAGTAGTGAAAGTGTTTCCTTTAGCATCTTTAATGTGAACAATTTCAAATGATCCTGGATGAACTTCTCTTTTAACAATAACTCCAACACGACCCATACCATTACCACCAATCATCATAGCAGTATTTCCAATATCAAACTTAACAAAATCAACGATTTTTCCTGTTTCAAGATTAAGTTTGATTGTATCATTAGCTTGAAGTTCTGGATGTGGATATCTAATAGTTCTACCATCATGAGTAACAATGTATGGAATAGCACCAGTTCCAAGTACTCTCTTTTCAATTTT